GAACGATCATATCACGCGCATCCTGGACCATCGTTTCGAGCCAGCCCCTCAATTCACCGTGCGCGCCCTGCCTGTTTTGGCATTTAAGCATGCCTCTGAACTCTCCAGTCCACATACGGGAGGCTACGTGCCCTAGAAAACTAGGGATAACACTCCCGTCAACGGGGCCACCGGGCACTGGGGCTGTAACGATCCAGGGGTCATTCTTCGGCCGTTTGCTACTCGCACCTGTATTAGAATAGAACAATCAATATATATACGACATATTGTGACTGACCGTATCACTTATTTAATAAAATAACATAAAATGGTAAACAACAATAAATACGTAAATCATTTACCTGAGGAAGATCCAGCGCCCGCAAAACGACCCCCACCCTGTCGTGGAGGATTAACTCCAATGAGTCTTTTACCTACACCGGCTGCAGGTGCAGGTGCAGGTGTAGGTGCAGGTGCAGGTGCAGGACCCTGTGGCCGCTCTGGCTGTGCCTGTGGGTCAGGAGATACAATGTCCTGCTCAACTGCCACATAGTCGGAGTCAAATGTCTCGTCATCCCCATCACCACCACCATCATCATCATCATCATCATCATCATCATCATCATCATCATCATCATCATCATCATCATCATCATCATCATCATCATCATCATCATCATCATCATCATTCGCCGGAGTTCTGACTGCCGACTCAGAAGAATAACCCTGCGACCGAGTGATACGTATCCGAGGGAGACGTTCCGAACTGGCAGGTACGAGTGACCCAGACTGCTGACCACTCTGTATCGGACGAACGAGACCTCCCGAACTGCCAGCCATGACTGAGCCGGACTGCCAACTGAACTGCTGACCACTCTGTATCGGACGAACGAGACCTCCCGAACTGCCAGCCATGACTAAGCCGGACTGTCGACCGAACTGCATCGGACGAACGAGACCTCCCGAAGTGGCAGGAATGAGTGGCCCTGACTGTTGACCGATCTGTATCGAACGAACGGGAGGTCTCAAACCGCCAGTCTGCCCAAGCTGTACCAGGAGAGCCTCACGACGCCTCTCCTCCATCTCCCGCCGAGCGGAAGCATCCACACAACGACTACGCGTGTGTCGGGGTCCAGAACCCTCAAACTCGGCAACATGCTCATCCTATTAATTAGTAAACAAAATTTTTTAATTCATTAGTATAAAATTATAAATTGATCATACAATTATAAATATAAATAATATTATAAATTACTAATATATTTTAATTAATAATATATATACATACATATATTTTTATTATTGATATCTTTTTTTCTTAATAATATACTCTTTATATATTTTCATTTTACTATATATAATAATATATATGAAATTATTTTTTATTTTTNNANANNAAANNA